CTCTTCATTTAGCCTCTTTTCTTTCTCTCTGCAGCAGTGTGTCTCCTTGAATGAGTCCATTAAAATGTTAAATGACAGGACACAAGAGCAGTAATGAGGCACAATCAGTGATTATAAACACTTACCTTTGCTTTAGAGTTCATGCCATTGGCTAAACCACAGTCCCTATTAATGTGTTTATACAGTATGTGACTGTTTGACTGAAATTTAGATCCAAAATTAAGACGATTTTTTGATCATTGGCTATCTTGAAGACTTAGAACAGGCAACTGGTCTGTGTAGAGTTGAGAAGACATTTCGCCTCTTATCCAAGAAGCTTCTTCAGTTCTAAAAGTGCTAGTGTGAGGAGCAGATATTTATCTTGCTGGAGAAGGGGGAAGATAACAACTGGGTGGAGTTAAAAAGAATGGGTCGTAGAAACCCATCTCTGGGTGTGTCCCCCCCAAGTCGTTAACCTGAAAGGGTCGTTAGGTGGTTTCTGTAAACACTTACCTTTGCTTGAGTGTTCATGCCATTGGCTAAATCACAGTCCCTATTAATGTGTTTATACAGTATGTGACTGTTGGACTGAAATTTAGATCCAAAATTAAGATGATTTTTTGATCATTGGCCAGTTTTTCACTTTCAGCTTTTACAGTAGTAAAGCTGCTGTAATGCCTTTCTACTGTCATGGAAAGCAACAACACCACTGTGCTTTTGAATGGCACACTGAAAAAAACCCCATGTGGTTCAGCTCTCATGTCAAAAGCAGTGTGCACTTTGTCTCAAATAGACTTCGAATATTGGAGTTTAAATATACTATGAGTCTGAAATACTGTCTGCAAGCTAAGAACACAGATGCAGCTAAACAGACTGAACCAGCAGAGGACTATTTTGGATCATTGAAATCGCCCCCGGTCTGTGGATTAACCTCGATCAAAGAGGTTAACTACAGTGCTTGCTGACTGCATAACAGTCAATATTACAGAAAGCTTCATTACCTTTGCATTAAAGATATAGACATAACTGTTGACCAACATGACCAGTTGCAGTTAGCAAACCAAATACATTGTCGTTTGTGATCCCAACGGTTTTACTGAATGAATAAAACTCTATCTGATACAATCAAGACTAAATCTGACAAGATGCTTTGTTCATATTAAAGCAAAGCTGACACAGATTAGCAACTCCTTTTGCACAATGCATGTAATGTTTGTCACATAATAACTCATTGAGACGTAAAGGTCAGGAACACCTGTGCATACAAACGAAGGATAAATCTCTCTTATCAATAGCTTGCATAATGTATGATTTAAGGTGACAGTTGGGGGATTTAAAGGCTGAGTCTTCTTTTGAGTGTATTTATTACAGCCTGCATACATTCAATGTACCTTCATGAACAGGAAAATAAGTAAAATCGAGGCACCATTTTCCCACTCATGCATAAGTGTAGATAGTGGTGGTGTTGAAAATCAGTTCCAGCAGCACTGATACCACATTTGTTCAGTGCTGTTTGGCTAAATCACATCATATAGTAGATGTTATGTAATGACGGAAAGTAGCATAATATTCACCATCATACATCTCAAGTCTCCCAGAACTTCTCTCGTTCTGCTTAGCAACAGAGCTCTGTCTGTCGTCCCCCACATATTGAAAATGTAGACACATTAGTATTACACTATCAGTCCCATGAGAGACTTCTTTAACTGCTGTTTACTTTCTCTCTTTTCGCGGTCTATTTTGGACAACAGTGGGAACACCGGGAGAATTCCAAGAAGGGTAAGAGTGGGTTTAGGATTGAATTCATAATCGAGCATAGATGCAGAAGAAGGTGGTGGAGTCGACTTCAGATGAGACCCTGACCCTTTAATTGAAAAAGGCCTGCTCAGAGTCTGCTGATTTGATGCATGGCAGTAAAAACATGCCATGGAATGTCTTGCTTTCAGTGTGTGAATACATATAAGAGGATTTGTCATCTGTTACATGTAAAACAAACCATGACAGATTGGTCAGTATTATGTAAGAGGGGGGGAGCCTATCTTGGGTCACACTAAATTTCCCACATCTGATGCATTTTCACAGCTGTGGTTAAGGTGAATCACACAGATTCAAACCTTATATATCTGCATTAGGAGAAGGATTCTAACACAGAGATATCAGCAGTATCAGCATTCATTAGCTCTCACTGTAATTCCCTCATAGTGACCTTCTGTGTGCAGGAGCAGGAGCATGTAAGACATTGATTATACTTCTGTCTTATCCATGATTGGCATGCAGAGACGCTCCTAAGGTCTGTGGCCCCAATTTGTGTCCATAAGCTGCCATGCTTACATGGTTGCACATGAATAAGACAGCACAATCACAGTTGATCTCACATGTGATCAAAGATACAAATATATTTATGACATACATACATGCCGTGTCAAACTTAGATTACCCACATAATGGTGTTCCAGGATGCTTGAAATTGGATGTCAACCTTCTCCTTTTTAGCGTTACGTAGGACATGAGTGAAAATGTATTATAGCCGGAATGTAAGTGAGTATTAAGGTGGATTGAGTCCCAGCCGAGTGTTTAAAACGTCCTCCAACAAACATCCAGAGAGCTCAAGTAACCTTGGAACCTGCGTCATCAACAAATAGCTCTTACCTAACATGAGAAAGGGCCACAGTATGCAACCACATGGCAGAAGTGTTTGAGACAATGGTAGGCAGGAAGAGAGAAAGAGTGAAGAATAGAATAGAAATAACAAGAGCATGATTGTTCTCCCTCTGAAGGTCACAAATGACAATTGAGATGACGCAGTTTTTCACAAAAGTGAATCACAGATCCACCTCTGAAGGTCTTCCCTTCATTTATCGTGGTGTGTCTTTCAGTCAAGTGCAAATTAATTATAAATTGTGAGAGTCTGTCCGCCTGAAAGCTAAAGTCACTCTAGGCTGATTAAACTAATGACTACTTATTTTTAATACATCATCAAAGTGTTTAACTGTATGTTGTCATGTTAAAAGGACAAAAGACTCCTTCTACCAGAGTATTTCAAAACTTCAAGGACTGATAGTTCTTGAGTATTGAAGTTTTGAAACATCTTTTTTTTTTGAAGCACATCAGCATGTCAGTCTGATGTTCGCAATTTTGTTTGCTCTCAGACGCAAACATAATCTCTCTGTAATTTTGATAAATGTTTGAGATCTGCTGTGCTGCACCCAATTCTGAAATGTCAAATTAAGACACCTTTATATTTTAAACTGTAATAATTCATTTTTAAGCTTATTTTATTGTTTTTTTAAATGAATTTAGTTGTAAAAACTTGCCTTAAAGTCGAACTTTATCAAGCCTCTGTGGTTAGAACTGACCAAAGCTTCTGTGTGAACCATTTCTATGTTATTAGACACTGGAAAGCAGTCTCTGAATTTGAAATTTAGATGTACATCTGCCTTAGCAACCACTTGATAAGTGCATGAAAGTCAAAGTGATGAGCATAACACAAACAACTCAAAAGCTAAAGGTTTCATTTCAGATGGGAGTGTTAAGGTATGACTCATCATGCAATTAAAGAGATAAAAACAGCAGTGAAAAAGCCTCTCCTGAATGCACCAGTGACCTTATCAATGAAAATGAGATGCTGTAAAATCTGTTCACAACAAACTTGTCCTGTATTATTGGAACATCAATGACACTCTTCACTAACTCTCTCCTTGTACTTTGGTGCACAGCTGTGGCAGCAAACTACAGCTGGCTGCTATGTTGACATTTCTGAACCACACGAAGGGGCTTCTCTGGCTGCTGTCCATGGTGCTGATCCGACTTTGAGGCCAAAGTCACATTGAAACACCTTCACTTTCAATGACTATCATATTATTAACACCCAATATGTGTGTCTCTCTATTTACTGTTATCAAATGACAGACCCCATCTGTTTACGTCGTGCATACTAAGTCCTCTGGTTATGATCTTCATGGAAAGTTTTTGTGCTACAGGAAATTGTCACTTCACACAACTTTTGGTTGTACAAAATAAGACCTAATTTTTTTCTTGCCAAAGCCAAACATGCGTCTTGAACTTGTTGATGTGTAAGCAGTCTTTTCTTGTGTTTTTCATCAGCACCATCATTTATACTGGAATTAATAACACATACTAGTGTAGCCTATGCATGATGACAACTGTGACCTAATCATGGCCTTGTTTTTTCTTTGGTTTAGCTTATTTCATCTTTCTTTCTCTGTTTTCCCATTAAAAAAGTTTTCTGACCTTTAAGTGTGCCTTATGTAAAACCCACATAATTGACATACAGTATTTTATGTCCAGTACCATCTCAAGATGTGTTCCATGCAGCAATAATGAGCATACATGATATCTATGCCCTTAAGGGGGAGTTGTTGGCCTAATTGGACTTTTCCCGCCACTGACTTTAGTTACAGAGTCACTCCAGCTTTGCTCCATATTTGTGGAGCTCTGACCTTAATGTTTGGTTGTTCTCTTGGCTTTAAGAGACCATGCTTTAAAAAAAAAAAGGAATAAATAAAAAAATCCTATCAACTCCTGCTTGCTACTCAGTAGAGTTGTGGCAAAAATACTGCAACATCCATTACCACCATCTGACTGAACCCCTGCAGGCAGTACAGAGACATTTTAGCGCCCTCACTTTTTCAGTCTTATTACATTTACTCCATGTCTGTAGATCAGGGGAGTTGTATTTCACCATTTCTCCTCAGGTACAGTGAAACAGTTCATTTAGAAGAAACCCTAGCTCCATAAATGGTTGGCCCATGGCGTGATATGAACAGTGGATTTTTCGAAGCTGTTATTGCTCATTTAAATTAGCTTAATATCCAAGTTACATATGCATCTGCATCCACATGACATTACACTTTCTTTCAAACTTTGATGAGTGAGTGTCTGGATGAAATTGTAATGTGTTCGCATTTCAGAAAATCAAATAGAGTGCACATCAACCATTATGGCTATAACTGCTACAGCCCCATTCCCTTTGTGATCAAATGTACTGTTATTAACTCTAAGCAATTGCGTGTGTGGGATGGGAAGCAAAATGTGTGTGCTTTTTTTTAGTTGTCAAGTTGTATAATCGGCTGAATTTAACACTGAAATGAAGAATATTGTTCCCTTAAAAGTAGAAGGGAGAGGTTTGTAACTATCATGTGGATTTGGAGCCTTTCACTGTTAATCTCTCTGACAGTCACTGGGCAATAAAAGATGTTGTTGAGGGAGGCTCTGGAAGGACAAATGGCTGGTAATGGCTCAGAGTATGTGCCATTGTAGAAAGCCACCTCTCCAACCAAGGTTATTTAGAACTCTATGAGATGTGCTGCAGCATTTCAAGTGTTATGGTCTCATTTCAGGGACAGAGTTATGAGTCAAATGTAAGAAATGAGTCTCAAAGGAAGAGAAGAAAGAGTCTAGAAGCTGTGCAGCACAAAAACAAGTTTGATACAAATGAAGTTGAATGTTGCATGCATAATAAAAGTTAGGTAAAATGCTAGCAGAATTTTTACTATTATGAAAGAAACCAAGATGTGTCATCTAGGGCCCGTCCGATATGGATTTTTTTGGGGCTTTTACCGATTATGGGGGGGGGGGGGGGGGGGTCTGATTACCGAAAAATCGGCCGATTTTTAAAATTTTTTATGAAGTTATAAAAAAATGTTATACTGTAGATATCTACAGTATACTATATACTGTAGATATCTACAGTATACTATATACTGTAGATATACTGTAGGCTCCTGCTCTTAACGTCATTTCCAGTCCGCAGGTCTTATCTGAAGACCTCTGCCTCAGTAAGAGAAGTAGCTCGTTCACGTGTGTACTGTTGTTTATTCTACCATTACTGGCACGGCTAACAGTGTAGCAAGGCTAATAGCAGATGGCTAACTCTAACTTTAGCTTGCATATTACATGGTGCTTCACCGTTAACTTGGCATGACTGAGACCAGCACAGCGGGGAACATGGTGAAGTGGGTTGAACTGAAACTTGTTGATTTATTGTGTATTTCACAAACTGGTTTATTTACCGTTGAGGTGGACCACTCTCCTCCGTGCGTCCCTTAGCTGTCTGCTTCAGATCCGTCACTCTGCTGTGCTGTGAGGTAGTTTGTGGATGAAGATTGTCATGAGATCGCTGCGCCATCTACAGGATAAGTTGGGGAACTTTTCAAATGGTGGAACATTTTGAAGTGAAACTGAATCTTATTCTCCACATTTTATTTCTGAAAATTGGCATGTTTTGGCTGATTACCGATTAGTCTCAAATGGGCTAAAATTGGCCGATTTAATCGGCTCGCTGATAAATCAGTCGGGCCCTAGTGTCATCCTTACAAATATCCTAAAGACAATGCTTTGTCTTCACACTGTTGTATACAGATGTGAATAGCTATGTGTACATAACATTTTTGGGTTGAAATGCTCCCATAGACAGTTTCACCTGTGAAGGCTGTCTGGATGTGGATCCCGTCTGGGGAAAGTCAGATTATCCCCCACAGTATTCATTATGTTTTGGAAATGTCCCCTGCTCAGAGAAATCAGTAAGAATGTTTACTGGTCCACTCTGGATCAATGAAGAGTTATGGGGAAGGTGGGGGGTGGTGAGTGATGGGGGGGATTGTTGTTGTCATTTACTCTACGGGGACTTGCCCTTGAACATAAACACCCTTGCATTTCCACCAAACAGCACACTATAGCGCAGCAGAGGAATCATAATTGACCATGAGTGCGGGGCGCTAGCTGCCTTAAGTGCTATGAAGCATGACGTGACTTACAATGAGCCAAGAAAGTCAGGTGGTTGCATCCCCCACAATACCCTGAGAATTCACGTTATGCACAGTCTGAGGTAATTGCAAACAGCTCATATCAATAGCTTGAAATTGAAATACGCCAGACCATTTTACTGGTGTGAAATAAGCTGTTGCTGTCAAAGCCTGTACCTGGAGAGCTTTCCAAAGCCACATAAAGGATTATGTTGTGTAAAAGTTAGTGTTAGTATTAAAAATAATGGCTGTATCTCTGGTCGTTAAAGGGGAAATTAAAATGAAAACCATCCAAAAGGGAGACGGTGGGGATTTTTTTTTTTCTTTTTAACTATGACGAAGGCAAAATAACAACCCTGGCAGCTGCTGTGAGCACTGACTGTGATATTGAATGTTTTTAAGGTTTAAAACAAAATCAATGTTGAATGAGGTATTGTTTTCACAGCTGTAGCTCAGTGAGATATAACCTGTTGTCGTTAAGTGGTTGCACAAATTCTGAATGCTTATCTGCTTTTGTACGGGTAAATTGAAAACACAACCTGACCTCATACTCTGCTAACCACCTAAAGTTATCTAAATCACATTATAAGTGGTAATTGCAAAATGACAATCTTGTTATATGACACTCCTTTACCTCTACTTAAGAAGACCGGCAGCTAAGACACAAAGAAGAAGAATCCTCAGTCTAGAACTGTGATGCTGCAGGCATGTTATGGTGCAGGCATCCATGATAGTCACACTAACTAATAAAAATGTATGAAATAGGTATAGTGAGCATGGATGCGTTTTCAAACCTTTGTGTAGCGTGTGCAGACTCTGAAATTGGTTCAATAATCCTGCTCAAGCTTCTGCAACATTGGTTTGGGCAGAATCTGATTGATATCAGGAGATAATATATATATTTAGTGCGTGCGATGGATTAGACATACGGTGTGTTCCCAGTGGGTGTGGATGGTTGCCTTCCCACATGGTGTCTACATGAGGTGCATACTACTACATGTGGATGAGAGAAACTAATCGCATTTTGGAAATTCCTCTGGCCAGCCCCTCCACCTGGGCTCTGAGTGGAAAGCCCCATCAGGACAGATTGGTGGGCAGGATACCACACGGTACCAGGAGGACAAAAAGGACAGAAAGATGGATACATGCAGCAATGAGGGGTTATTTTCATCAATGTGCTTAGCTTTCAGTGAACAAACCTACAGGAAGCAGACAAAGGAGGTCAAATGTGAAATTACTTTGGAGTGTTTAAACTGTGGCAAAAGTTCCTGGTTGTCTTTTTTTCTTGAATAAAGTTGCATGTACATCCTTTTTTTAATCTTAAGGTTTGTCTTTTTTAACAACAAATGTATGTACAGACTTAGCAAGTCTCATCGTCTGTTTCTTAACAGATGAGTTACTTGTTAGTTCAAAAATTATTGCCAGCTTTGTTAAGTACAAACTCTAAGATGCTAAATTGTTAAAGCTGGGTGGGCACATTGAAAGAAAAATTAAATGACAACAATTCATTATTACATTATTACATAACATTGACAGAAGTTAGAGGATGCATAATCAGGACCAATAAAAATATTCATAATAAAAAAGGGGCAATATAAACCTTCAAAAAGGTAAAACACCTGAGCCTGTGATAAAAAGGATTCAACCTTTTTGTCATGTTAAAGTGTGTAGCAGATCTTCACTCAGTGTTAATTAGCGTCAGCGTTGAGCAGGTTTCTCTGCCCTGCCTTCCCTGCGGCAGAAAGCCTGTCCAGTCTGCACCCTGTAAGTCAGCCCGTCTGTGTAAGGTCTGGGACACGGTGAGCTGGTGCGTGGCCTTGTGCTTCCCCTGGGACACAGTGTAACATCTGCTCCCTGCAGCTGTGTTAGCCGCACTTTACAGAGAGCAAAGAATCTATTGGTGTTAGATTTGGACACATAGTTCTGAACACAGACAAAGAATCAACCAAAAATGTCTTTTTACCATTCCACTGGTTATTATCAAGCTTTAATACACAGTGTGACTCTACTTTAGGACTAAAAGCCAAACGAAAGAATCTGAACTCTTAAAAACAACTGAACAAGCTGATTTTTATGGTTCAAGACACACAATTACACCACAACTGGCTTCATGGAGGTCCAAAATAAATAATAAATTCCTGCAAACTGTTAGTGGCCCACATACATAATCTCTGTAGCTTTAATTCCCACTGTCTGTTACTGTGTAACTAAAGCAAAGTCTGCTATTTTAGTGATGGAATACCTCTTGTAGCTGTTCTTATAAAACATAAATATTAAAAGTTACCCAAGAGCGAGATGAGTGAATCTCAACCTACGATGGGAAATCAACTGACAAATTTCCTCATAAACATTTTAAGGGAAATTTATATTCAACTGTGGTACAACTTGTTCTGGGTCCACCTTGACCAGCAGGAGAAATCTGGACATATTTTACCCACATTACCCACATCTGGTTAGTGTTACAAATCTTTCCTACATCTGCAAATCAGAGTGTGTGAATGTGAAAAAAAGTGCCAAGTACTCATAGCTATTAGGTAAGCGTTTGGCATCGGTTTATGGGATATTAACTACAGGAGTCTGGATTTGAAGCGTGTAATAGTAGAGTATTGTTACCTTTGCTTCAGGATAAGATATCTGACACCTTCTTAAACAACAGCTATGATGCCTGTCGCAACAAAGTCTGACCTTTAAAAACTCCAGAGAGGAGTGGAAGCTGTAGCCTAGCAACTTGGCATAAACAGTATGACTTGGCTACAGTCGTACCTCTAACTTGCTTAACAAGCACAACTCAAGACCTTGACGTGGTCAAAACTGATGACTCGAGAAAAATAAACCCCTAATTTAAGACATTTTCAGATTGTAAACATGTTTATCTCTTAACATCATACTGTGGACACAGATGGGGTTGTCTTGGCTGTTTAAGTGAACCCATTAAGTCCTGTACGACGGAGTATTGAGGCCACATTAAGGAAAAAAAAATTAAGACTTCGAGATTAAAGTCGTTAAGTTACGAGAATAAAGTCATTACAAATGGGAATTAAGTTGTGATAAAGAAATTACCTACGAGAATAACGTCATCATAAAATCATTATGTACGATAATAAAGTTGTATTATCATAAATATCATAATGTTTTTATTACGAATGTATTCTCTTAAGAAATTAGCCTACATTATCACGACTATATTCTCATAAGTAATGATTTCATGGCAAATTTATTCTCGTAGGTAATAAGCTTACTTTATAACGACTTTATTCTCGTAAGTAATGATTTCATTACGATTTTATTCTCGTAATTAGCTAACTTTATTATGACTCTGTTCTCGTAAGTAACAATTTTATCACGATTTTATTCTCGTAATTAGCCTACATTACTACGACGATATTCTCGTAAGAAATGATTTCATTGCAAATTTATTCTCGTAGGTAATTAGCTTACTTTATAACGACTTTATTCTCGTAAGTAATGATTTCATTACGACTTTATTATCGTAAGTAATTAGCTAACTTTATTATGACTTTGACTTTATTCTCGTAACAATTTTATCACGATTTTATTCTCATTAGTAATTAGCCTACTTTTTTACGACTTTATTCTCACAAGTAATGATTTCATTATGACTTTATTCTCCTAATTAGCTAACTTTATAACAACTTTATTCTTGTAAGTAATGATTTTATTTTAATTTTATTCTCGTAAGAAAATTAGCCTTCTTTATTATGACTTTATTCTCATAAGAAATGATTTTATTACGATTTTACTCTTATAAGTACTTACTTTATTATGACTTTATTCTCATTAGTAATGACTTTATTCTTGTAAATTAACAACTTTAATTTCAAAGTCTTATTTTTTTTTCTCTCTATGTGGCTCTTATACTCCGTCGTAGTCCTGTGGCATTTGTCTTTGATTTTTTTTTTTTTTTTTTTTACTCATCAACACTTAAGATTGATGCATGGCTCCAGTGCACAGGTGATACAGTTGCAACAAGCTTTTCTTTTTCTCCACAAAGCCTCAAATGAGAACCGGTAACAAGCGACTCACAATAGCAGAAAAAGACTTACAACAGATAATGAAAATAGCACCGACCACTTAAATGTCCCGCAGTTTGTCTCTTTCAGAGGAGATTTCTTGAGAATCCTGAATGGGATCAAAAGGAATCCGCTCAAACAACCTACTCTCATGTTGTGTCTGTAATCATCCCTCCATCACAAAACAAACCTAGCATCACAATGCCTACTTCTCACCTTGTCTCCACCTCTTACATGTGCACATGGCAGGCTGCTAAACACTATGCTGGTGTTTATCTTACTTTCTGCTTCAACCATCTATAGTCCCCACAGTGCCATGTACTCTAAGTGTCATACAAACGTACACAGCACATGACGGCCACACGTGAGACAAGCCTCCTCATACATGTTACTGAAGGGCTTTCCGCATGATGTGCAGGACAGAAATAGTCCCCTCTCTAAATGAACCATGAACAGACTCTGGCTTACTGGAGGTCTGAAGATAGAGAGGCCTCCTAATGATTCCGTGCACATATGCAAGTCGGCATGGCTGGTACACTGCTCACATCAAAGTCATTATCTCTCTTTCTTAATTGTCTATTGGAATTGGAAAAGAGACACGAACTAATGTCAAACACTACAACAGCAATTCATCTGGACTGAAAGTGAAGGGGTGAGGGGAGGGATAAATCTCCCAGAACAGTTCTGTCACTGCACACCTTCACAGTGCATACTCTCCTCAAGCTGGGACCTGAGTGAGTGTGTGTATGTGTGTGAGCGTTGCAGAGGCTGATAAGAGTTGCTTCGACGTGTCCTCTGGATGTCACAATACCCGGAGGGAGAAGGTGTCACAGAGGAGGATATCAGGCAGAACAAGTACCACTCTGCTCGGCTCTGTTATTCCCCCTCCTCCTCCTCCTACTCCTCTGTTTTAGTCCAGTGCCTCAGTGCTCCCATAATTATTTCATCCAGTAGGTTTCACTCCATTCATATCTACATCTAAGTAAAGTTTGACAGTCTTATCCAGCAATAGCTCCAGTCAAGAGATCAGCGGTATCATCATTCATAAATCCCACTGAATGTAAGTTTACCTTAAGCACCCCTTTTTTTTCTTTTGTACTGTAGACATATTGATGTTTGAGTCAGATCTCCTACAGTCTGTGCTTGCTCAGCTGTGTTTTCTTTAATTACACTATTACTCAGTGCCTTTGTATTTATTGCAGACAAATAACAAACCATCAAATGTAACTTTTGTGCAGGGAAAGGCAAAGTAAGCTAAGCTGGGGAGGGTGAGAGCTATGTTTAAAGTCACAGCTTGCTACTGCACAATCATAGACAAACTATGGACAACTCGGTTCCGCCTTCCGCCAGTATTTGAAGCCGAAAAGCTCTTAGTTTTTCCACATTTTTTCTCTACTTCCTGAAACAAACATTGCGCAGTTGCTGAGAGTCGCTGTGATGATGCTCGGCTCAAACAGCGGGTGAGCTATGTAATCTTCATATGCCCATAGGCTGTATCAAGTGTCAATCATAGAAAACTTGAACCCCCTAATAACTTTTAAAAATGGAGCTGTACAGAAAAAAAGAGGACTTGAGCACAAACCAGTCTTACGATACTACATGTCAACATCATAAGCAGAGGGGAGAAACATTTATGTTCTGTGTAATAAATTTCTAAAATTTGTCCACAGCTCCATAAGTATTGCTGGAGGAGGCGGGATTTATGACCTATACTGCAGCCTGTCAACAGAGGGTGCTGTTCTCAGAGTGGCTTCACCCAGCGAGGAGGCACACAGCGTCCATTCATTATACAGTCTATGTGCACAACACATACTGAGGGATCAAATGCAAACTTACGTATTTAACTAGCACTTAAATAATGCTAGTGTGCTTGATGCTAAATATGTAGTTGTTCTGTTAGTATTTATGGGTCGTTTCTTAGAGGCCAAAAAAAGACATTTAAATAATAATATACCCAGAAAACTGTAAGTGCAATAGATATAACTGAGAGGATAAGACAAACATATCTTCATATAAAGCTGAGCACTGTTCTTATTTTTGCTGGCACAGAGTTATCCTCTTAACACACACAGCTCTACAACCTGGCATTCAGCCTACAACTGATTTCAATGTCCCACATCTGGCTGCTGAGTTCCTCTCTTCTCTTTGGCCCCGATCTACAGTGGGATCCTGTTGACTCCCTGGAGTGGACAACAACACACAAGTCTATTTTAAGTAACTGCAGTCATGTTAAGGATCCGAATCAGAAGCAGAATGAGCTCGATCTCCATAATGACTTCTGTAATGTTGCTCTCTGTATATCATTTCTTACTGTTGGGGTTTGGGTTACGTAATTCTGTTCAGAGAGACACAAACAGAGACGTGACTTATAGTGACATACTCATGCTCTCATGGGGGCATATGTGAGTATGTCCACACTGCACTTGTACAACTACACACATAACCACAATTCACAACACTGCTCTCAGAGACGATGGAGAATCTGTTGTTGCTGTGTTGTTTTCTTCGAAGCTGATCCTCTCATTTTCCTTATGACAACTTCACATTGATATATTGTGAATTTTCATATGCAGCTGTCTCTCATATGCTTACATGCAATTTAGTGACAATTATGCAGGGAATTAGAGCACTAAAATATTTTTTTTTGGAGAATGATATAAAACAAGAGGAGAAATGCATGAATAAAGTGAATAAGAGCAAGTTTGAAAAGAAGTAAAAGTGAGGCCAAGAGAGATCAAGAGAAAATGAGGATAAATGGAGAGGTGCATGCTCGGATAAACAGGCCTTTGATTCAAACTCACATCAAGTCATGGGTCATTTTCTAAACAGGTCACCTCCCCAAGCAGGACTCTCTTCTCTTCATGGCCAGATTTTTTTAACACAGCACTGACGTCTCTGTTTTCTCCCAATGCAAAGGCCAACTTGTACCGCTGCATGCCATATTTAACTACATTTAACACAATGCCTTGTTGAAGTTTAAACACCTTTTCAGTTTTGTTAAGAAGTAAAATTTGGTGTTGAAAGAGACGATAAGCAACCAGCTGCAAAATGCAAGAATACTCCTTTATTTTTCTATTATGATTTCTATTTTTACAGCAAATATAAACATGTTTAACTCCTGTTTTAAACAAATGTTGTAGACATGCTGCTCCTTTATTTATTTGCACGCACTGTACTTTTAATACTAGCACAGTTTGCAAGGCTGAGTTGACTGTCAGGTAACAGGAGCCCATCTCAGCTCCAGGGTCTAAATTGATCCAAGGTTAAGTTGGGCCAGCACTTCCAATACGGCAACCATCATTGGTGTTTGTGACACCACTGACACTTTCAGATTCGTGAAACATTTACAGACGTACAATATTATTATATTCTTGGGTCATCGCTTTGATAGTTTAATGTCTAATTTTTATTTTCAAAACCTTTCATATAAGAAACATTAACATAGGCTTCGATGCAGAAAATGCAACTGAATTTTGAAAAACAAGAATAAAAAAATGCATTTAAATTCATTTATTTATTAAAAAAAAATGTGTGTATATGTGTATAAATTTTCTGTTGAGAATTTATTTTGGAGTGGAGCTAATTCTGCTCTACAGTCTTAGATTGTTGTATAAAGAGCGGCAGTGCAAGGTTATTAAAAGCATTCCCAGTAATTAGGTATATTTCAGGTCTTTTTAAATCATTGTTATCCTTTCTTTTCTTTTTCCAACAGAAGGGTAGATTTTCGTAAGACCTGAAAGCTCTTTTTTCTTTCATCACTCCTGTAATACTTTGTACTCTAGGGGCTACACTCAAAGAGTTCACAGAGGGAGAGATATAAAATATGTGTGCAAACTGATAAATTACTCTCATCCCTCTTCTGTTACTCTTTTTGTCAGCTGGATATTCTTGTTTTACAAGTGTATGATTCCCTGAAACTGTATCATCTGCATGATCGTTCTGTTTTTTTTCTTTTTACTGGGGTCATCAAAGGAAAAATATTTATCAAGATTCAATGCAGACTATCAGGTGCCACAGTCATTTTCATTTCAAATCTTGTTTGTGCCTTTTTTTCACAGCTATCTAACTGCTCAATTATTTTCAGCATTTACAAAATAATTGATATACTTAAGTGATAGGTTCCCTGTAATTTTCGAACAGCCTTAATGTAAATGAAATCATCAGTGGCTGCTGTAGATAAAGCTGCTGATCAGAACAGCACAGAGCCCTTATGAAGTCCTCATTTGAATCTTTTTCATGTCCTCAGGGTGAAAGAGTCATAATGTCTCTTCTTTTGATCTTTCACACTAATAAGGTCCAAGTTACGACCCCCTGGAGAGTCCGTGCAGACACCCTGCTGTGGACATGGACATTCCCACACTGGTACATGTGTCTTTATGAATACACTGTATTACAGGAAAACACATGAGTGCCCACAAACATAAACCAACACATGAAAATGCATGTGTAGTTTTCAGCTGTCCAGTGACATCCCTGAGAATACCAGGGGTTCTTCAGCTCTTCACATCAACAGAGGGTATTTGTTAACACTTTCCCACCAGGACATGCCCCCTGAGATGGACTGAATGACCAAAACAATAAAAAAAAAAAACATATTGCAACCAGATTTCCTCAGCAAGAGAAACAATGAAGATAGAAATATCTGCTTAGATGAAGAGAAATTGGATCTTTCACTGTAATAGCCGCAAACTGACTCTAAAGGATAGGAAATCCAGTGTCCTTAGAGGCCATTATTGTTCTTTACTGTGCACATCATCTACTTAAATCTAAAGGGTTCATTTTAACCTGAGCAAATAGGTAAAAAAGAGAAAGAGGAAAGTGGCTGGAGAGGGTTAAATTAAACCCATAATGAAAAACTTAAAAGATTCAAACCGCAGTGTGACTTCTGGATTGATTCAGCTTTGGACAATATCCCTCTAAATGCACCACGTTTCCCTGTTGTCTATAGATATTAAACTCTTCCTTCTAATGCGCAAAGACTTATGAAAGTCAAAGAGTGTCTTAACCCAGATCACTGTGAGGACATAATGAAGCTTAAAGGTCAACGAATTGATTTTTGGTGTTGATTCGACAGATTATTGAGCTGCCATTTGTGTAAGTTGTCCGCGAGGCTATGTGGATCATTGTAGTATAATCACCTTTTTAGATGAAAAACACAGAGAATAGACAGTGATAATCTAACTGGGCACATTAACAGGACTGGGTATATAATTACATCAACACGCTTGCTTAATTCAATGAGCTATAAGTGGTACTGAGTTTATTGAGGGAACTAAATACACTAGATCTGGAAATGAAGCTGTAAGGGAATGGGCATACCAGCATATCATGTTCTTGGATGATACACTTACTATCCTCATCAGACCGTGATTTAGTTTAAAATGAGGCCAGCATATGTGAAATGTAAAAATAAATGATTGGAGGAACGAGACCCGCCTGCACCAGAGCAGAAGTGCTGGCTTGGACTGATAGACAGGTCAGCCAGTATCGATTCGAGATGTCAATCAGGGGCTGTGTCACATATGCTGCCACCAGGATTGATATTTCGAAACGGGCAAGATCTCTCTATGCCACAAAATGTCTTCACCCCGTCTGACTCCAGAACCAAGAAATGGGGAAACATGGAGTTTTAAAACTTTGCGGGATAGAGGGAGTACACCAACAAAAATAGACTGCAAAATAATAACTTAGCATAATGCAGCCATAATTAAGTAGTGATGAGGGGAGTGTGTGCCTCTAGCAAGCCCAAACACAAGCTTAAATGAATGACTTTGCATCTGAGGTCATTAAGCCACATGCACATCTCTGCCTTTTTATGAAAAGAAGAGTCTTCGTTTGTTTCTCTGTTTGAGACCAGAGCTCATTAGTTAACTAATTGGCCATCTGGCTGCACTTTGGATCCTGACATCATGTGTATCATGTCAGAGCCTACCAGAAGGTAAACGGCAGATACCAAACTGATTTGTCTGATCATAAACAGTCAGAGCTCTTCTTTGAAAGTCAAATCGAACGCATGGACCTTAAAAGGTGCTAAACCCCTAAAGAGATTGTGTTATTAAAGCACAAATATATAATACTAGATAGGGTTGGGTGATTAAATGATAATGATATATAAATCAAAAATCGATTTCTCTCAGTATCAATATAAAACATGGTCAATATGCTTTTCGATAGTCAGCATTCTGGCATGTTTAGGTAGACTATACAAATAGCCAATGAAAGGGGAGCTGCTCCGGGTCCGCTTCGGATGTGCTGAAATAGAATCAAGAAAAAAACAACTGCGTAGTAGCAGGCTGCAGCTACACGTGACCATAGCATATAAACACATGAAGCAGACAACACTGGTGGTGAGAAAAAAAAGAAAATAAGTCCTACCCCTGGCAGGAATGCAGATGAAGGCTCAACAGATGACATTGTCAACCACACTGACAAGAAAATGTCAGTGATGTGGAGGTAATTTGGTTTTTTGAGGTCAGACATGAAGCAGAGTGATGGGCACTGCAAATTATGTCAAGTTCATGTTCTCACAAAGTCTGGGAATGCCTCAAATCTTTTTCACCGCTTCAAGAAGTGCCTTGTGGCAGAGCATGCACAATGCAAAAGGTTGGCACCTGTGCAGTCCGCTTTACAAAGATCTCACAGATCCAGTAGCTTATCGTATTGCAAAAGACATGCTACCAATAAACAATGTAAAACTGTCACTATCATGATATATGTTGATATCTACTGATATAAAAAAAAATGTATATTTATCGTGATAAACTTTTTCCCCATATCACTCAGCCCTAATACTAGACCACTAATTTCACTGCACAACAAGATGTCTTTTGAACATGAAAAGTTTTCACCAACGAACAGTAGGTGACTGGTGTGAACTGTTTTTTGCAAAGCTCCTGATTTGTGTCCAGATACAATAATCATTGTTTTCACAGGTAAGAGGAAGCTGCAGCATATTATTATGCAAATACAAATAGGAATAAACCAAGTGTAATATAATTCTGGCATCAATTTATTTACTGCTTGTTGATCATAGCTGCACATGCATGAGCATTCATCTGAATTGGTAATGGCCAAGCAATAGATTTCAATCTCCATGGGCAAAGACTGTATAAGAGGTCTGAGTCCATGTGTATTGCTCAAACTGCCAGCGTCAGTCTGACACGTCTGGCTGTGTGCATTATGTAGAGTTTGGGTTGTCTTTATCGATTACCAAATGAAATGTCTAATTTAATAGCTGCAGCAAAAGCACCTTTTTATCCCGCGCACTCACTGACTCACTGACTCGCACATTTCTACACGTGAAGAGGAGGGAATTGCGGAAGTCTTTCAGAAAAAGCAGAACCAATTTACAAGCTGACAAAGCTCATTTGAAAACGGCACTTTAACGCAATTATCAAGCCTATTTACATCTTATTCATCCTGGTAACAGGCACGCAATCTGACCCCTCTGACTGAGTAATGCAATTGAAATCTACTTCTGAGTGATCCGGCAAACACACACAAATGCACACACGAGCGCTAGCACTCAACTTGTATCCCTGAGGCTATTTGACTATTTGGCAGCACAGGGTCAGTTTGCTGTAGCAGAAGGTAAGTGATTGAGGCGTTTGAGATAGGACTTATTGCACCTTATTCTCTAGAGCAGTTTAAACCTCTTATAAGTTGATTAAAGCCCTACAGTTCATCTCTGGGTTATCACGCAGCTGCTGTATTATGTTAAAGGTCATCTCATCGTCAGAGTGGCCTGGTTACTGAGTCCTCACTGTGTCTGTCACTTCAATCACACATAATCACACTGAAGACCCAATACATATAAAAAAAGATAAGCAGGCGTGTGCGTGCATCCTCTTTCAGCTTATGTAAAGAGTTGTTGAGGTGGTGTTGGGCTTTGCTTATCCATCTGGGTGTGTTATAAGTAAAAATGTGCCATAATTAAGTTGAGCCATTTGTGAGAGAGATCTGTGAGCTAAAGTAGGATGTGTGGCACAATTCAACCGTGCTTTTTTGCATATTTTGCAGCTTGCGCCTCACAGCCATTAGCAACCAAGCAGTGTTTGCCTGACAGAATGCATCTAGAGATGCATGTGATAAACATACATTCTGCATTTGTATGCATGTTTCAGTGTGAAGAAGCTCGGGATGGAGGAAAGAAAAACCTTTTTAAATAAGACCATGTCATATAGACACGCATTCCCTCACCAGAAACCTATATGGCTGCATGATAGATTCAATTTCTTCCCCCGTTACAGAGCCAGTGAATACTGTTAAAGGAGTATCACGCTTTTGGGCTCAACACAATAACTTTCACTTTCAAATCTGGAATTCAGTCTGCAGCTCATTATACAGCAGGCAGGCAACACAAATGTGAAGTTAAATCTGAAAGTAATAATGCAGCATTTTCTTTGTTCAAATTAATTAAAAGTGTCCAGTGTTGAATCCTAGGGCTGCAAACACTCTTTTAAAAGCCCCCTACATACTCTGAGCTCAACTGATAAAAAGTGTTCTTCAAAAACTGTCCTTTTGCTCCATCCACTCCTCTACCTCACTTTGACTCTTCTATAGAAATGTCCACCAAAAAGTATAAAATCATTTACTCTTTCACCAGATAGTTGAAATTCAAACACACAGTGGTCCACACAAAAGCCTGGGATAGAGCTGTCAAACAATCAATGATTTAATAACAGAATTAGTGTTGAGTTTCTTATCATGTGCGTAAAAGTTCATCAGTTTGCGTTAAAAAAGACTGATTTTAGTCTTTATGAACATTACAAAGAAATTCTCATCATTCTTAATATGGGAATCAAATGAAAGCAACTGAGCGCTCTTAATGATCTTGACTTTTAGATTTATTATCAACAAAAG